TCCTTGACTGCTTCCAACAGTCGACTGCAGTGGGGTCCTAGTCACTGACTGGAGCGCGCAGGCATTTGCACAGTCCAAGTAATTATTTCAAATAGGCCTCTGCTTGTCCAATATCCCACCTTCCAACTCTTCCAAAACAATTTTCAAACTTCATCACCAGACACAATATGGATTTCTCACACTCAGTCATGCTCCTGATGACTTCAAGTCTTCCATGTTAACTTGTGTCACAATTACCTTTGTGTCATAGGTGCTTATAATTTATTTCATCTGGAATTTTTCATCTCGCAACTTGACAATGATTTATTTTTATGAGTTACAAAGCAGCAGCCAAGAGGCTCCTATAGCAAGCACAGAAGTGGATCCAGGTTCCTGTTGCACTCAAAAGGACACTCTGAAAAGCCTAACTCTTAAAAGTAATTCTTTGGAAGCTGCTTTTCCTCTGTTATTTACTCCACGTTTCAGAGAGCCACAGAATTTGCAAAGTGCAATGATAAACACTGCAGCCCTGATTAAAAACGACTGCATCCCCTGAACCATAGACCAACATCCAATTAGTAGCAAGAATCCATTTCTGTTGATTAATGAGAAAATAAATGGGAGTATAAACCAAAGGAGAAGCCAGATCTTCTCCAGAAAGACTCCTATCACCTTCTTAACACTCCTTATGTTCAGAGATTTCTCTTGCCATGGTACTGGGAAGGTGGGAAGAAGGTAGAATTTAATCTGGCTACTGCCATAAAAGACAATAATAAAGGTTTCTGTAAATACAATAGCAAAAAAAAAGAAAGGGCAAAGAGAATCTCCATCCTCTGTTGGATGCAGAGGAAAACAGTGACAAAGCAGAAGGAAAAGTCTGAGGTACTTAACACTTTTCTTGCCTCAGTTTTTAAAAGAAAGACCAGTTGTTTTCCAGACAGCCCAGGTCCCTGAACTGGAAGACTGGGATGGGGAGCAGAATGAAGTCCTCACAATCCAAGGGGAAGTGTTTAGTAACCTGCTCCACCACTCAGACACACACAAGTCTACGGGCCAAGCTGATCTGCTGGAGGTTGGAAGGCTCTACAGAGGGATCTGGACAGGCTGGATCAATTAAGCACAGTCATGGGAGTTGAACCAAGTCCCTACACCTGACGTCTCTGTAGGCCTGAGATGACTTACCTCTTTTCTTCTATGTAATCATACTGTGTTCTGCTCAAAAAATGTTTAATGCTGATGAATACTCTGCAGAAAAGGGAGGAACAGACAGCTCTGTGCTCACAGGGCCAAAGTTCACAAGTTGCTTCTTATCTGTAATCATTCTCTTTTTTTATTTCCTGGCAAATGTTTTAAATAACTCTAAGCAAGCATTTTATAAAGATCATGCTGTCTGAGGCTTTAATGAAAAATATGAAGACTTAAACAGTAAATCTACAAGCATGACAAGAAGAGGAAAGAGGCAGATAAAACATGTTGGCTCAGCATGATCTGAAACCAGAGAAAGACAGACTGCCAATGCTCTTTGAATTAAATTCTCAAAACTTGTTATCTTCTTGTGTGCTCTCCTGATCAATAAATTCAAGCAAATCCATTAGTCTGTTAATTCACTTAATTAAACAATATCGAGCATTACTAACCATAATGAATGAGCTGTAATACAGCTCTGAATCCAAGGGCATGAGATAGCCCTTTGTCTGACTACATTTTTCACAATGCAATTGTTTTATTAGAGATTTCAAACTCGAAAATAGGTATGGAAACTCAGATACAAACAGCTATTTATTTAAACTCTTCCCTGGTTAAAAAAAAAAAAATTAAGTTGTTTAAAGAAGCAAAACCTTTCTTATTGGTGTGATGTATTTTTATTTCCTCAGTGTACTCTAAAACGATCTTGCTGTTTGCACTGCACTCTCATGCTCTTAAAAGGCTGTAAATTGCACAAATGGCCAAAAGTGGACTGTGCCAGAATGTGACCAGTCGCAGAGAGTTTGTACTGGCGTCTAGGATGCATCATTTACACACATTTATTCACGATTTGCTTGGTGAAGATTCCATAGAATTCATAAAACAACCAAAATTCTCTCTGCTTTTTTAGTGAAACTGCTACAAAAGGCTCAGTTCTTGTTAACAAATGTATGTTTATGAACATGAGGAATGAAATTCCCTCCAGGACTACCAAAATCTTTCCAACTGACTGACCTGTTATTTCTACTTTTACAATGTCACATTTCAGTATTTTTGTGACAAAAATATTCAGCATTTTCAGCATCATATTCTGTTTCATATAAAGACTTTATTACACAGGTGTCAAAACCCACCCAAAGTCCGAGTCAAATGTACAGAAAACAATCCTCTTAGAGGCTACATAAACTGGCAGGAGGTACCTGATATTCAATACATAAGCAGATAATAAATGGACTATTAAATAAATAAAAGACATTATATAGATAAATAGATAATGCCCCTCGAAATACTTTTATACTGAGTAAGATCTAATTAATACTTTACAGGGTTCTTTGATGATGCTGAACCACTTTCTTCCATTTTATACATACAAGCAAAAAGTTCCTTGGTTAGAACTTTTATGTCTTTTATTCTACTATTATTTCATTTATTTACTTTAATGATTTAAAATCAACTTTAGCTCAGTCCTTTATAATGTCATTTTACTCTATGAAAATTATAGAGCTCAAGGCACTGAAATTTCTCATCTCTTAAATGATAACAGCCATAACACTCACAACTGAAGAAGAGGATAATATGATTAGAAGTATTAAAATTTTAGAACAAATCCAAAGAAAAACAGCTAATGACTTTTAAAGAGAGTTGATTTTCAAGGCATGTGAACATGCAAAAATCAAGAGTATTAGAGCTGATACAGCAAAGACAAGGTCTCCTTTCACACTGCAGTCACTGTGTGAATACAATGTCTTTTTGTTGGAGCAAGTCCACATTGAAGACAATTTGAATTCCTAAGGGAGTTTTAAAGTATAATGATTTAAGTTAAGGCTTTAGAAAAGAGCCAAGGTGAAATTCATTAAAATATTTAATTGCCTTCAAATCTGGCTGAGTGAGCCATGACCAAAAGTCATTAGAAACGGAAGGATGTTCAATAGCATACGTTGAAATTCTCTTCTAAGGCGATTTCCTAATTAGATGTCAACATAAAAAGACACCATTACAGCCAACACCAGTGTTGGCAAGTTCAACAGCCAGGGCAGAGACTAAATAAACGTGGAAAATGTAACAGCTCCAAGAACTAGGGTGAGTCTTTTTTAAACAGGCATTATGGAGAGTGTTACGCCACACTAATTTATTCTAAGAGGTCATTGACAAATCCAGTTCTCACTCCTATTAGGAGAACTGAATTAAAGTATGGGAGAAGATGACAATTTAACTGCACTCTTTGCAGTGCTGGACTTTCTCCTGAATGATACTTTGCATTCTTTCATAATTTTCACTTACTGTTTGTTTTCATTTTCAAATGGGAAGCCTGACGTGAATTATACAGCTGTTCGGAAATACTGGAACTCTAGCAAAGAAAACTACCTAATTTTAGTTCTCTCATGTAAAACATACTGAGAAGATCTTAGAAGGGTGCATCTAGGATTATGAAAATACGTATGGAAAATGTGATAGGCTACCAATGAAAAATCTCATAATTAGGAAAATTTACCACAAGAGTACAAGAGACACTGGCCACCTCTCTTACAGCTGTCAAATTTAATACATATACAACATATAAGCTGCTGCAAGGCAGTGTTTATTTAGCCTGTACTGCATCTCTAACAATTGTCAGCAGTGGATCTTTCAAACACAGTATTGAAATCCACACAATGTTGGTTTATCAGGAAATACTTTTCCTACTCTGATTTGGAGCCAAATTTTCATTCTCTTGCCCTCACTAAACTGAACTTGTTCAACATGGTCCCCTTTAAGTCAGTGGGTCCTCTTGTGGCATGAAGCATTATTAGAGATGGCACTGGTTATTCACCTCTGCCCTGAAATATTAGGAAGTCAACAGAAATCTGTACTTTTATCAGTTTGTCAGACATTACTGAAGGTGTTGGGGGTAAAAAAAAAGGAAAACTAAAACAGGACAATTCCTTGCTCTTCCCAGCAAAGACACACACCAGGTAGAATGGAATAAGCAGCCAGAGAAGAAACTCATCTAACTCATCTCTGTGTTCAGATGCATGATGCTGGCAAGATGAAAATCAGTGTTCAAAAAAGGAAGGAAGCCTGCTCACATGGGACACGACCACTGGTAAGTTTTATATGGAATGGAAGACAGAAGACATCCCTTCTGTATAAAGGGAGCCAGGTGGACAAAATATGACCCAAAACATCACTGTTGTGATATGCAGTTGTGAAACACGTTATTCCTTTGAGCGAAAAAATAAAGTGACTTTTAGTGAATATTCTCTACTGCACAAATTTTAAAGCTTTGCCAACATTAGGACTTTGTAGTCTTCTGTCTGCAGTATACAAATACATATCTGGAGCTGGGGAGTTGTCAGATGAGCTTCTCACCCGTCATCTGCCTCTCCTTTCAGCTGATCTCTGGCACAAAGTGACAGAGTCTCTGTCACAGAGACAGACTCTTACATACTCAGTTCTTTCCCTCTGTAAATATCCATATAAAATTCCCACCTTTAAGATTCTCTACAAATAAATTATTCTCTAGCTCTGCCACAAACATCAAGAAGGTTTCGTGCATCGAAAGCTATACAATTCAAGTAAGGAAATAGGAAATAAGAAATAAAACAAAGTTAAAATACAACTGTATGGATAACTATCTGCTTCCCCAGATCAAGTATGTTGAGTTACATGCAGAAGACTTTTTTTTTTTTTCAGTCCATTCCACAAATCTCATCTGGAATCTACATTTGCCCCAAGCGCCAAAGTGTTACGTGCATGAGACCTGCAACTCTCAAGCACAAAAGGAATTTTCAGTGCAAGAAGAACCATCAGCAGACCTGTGGCTAAAGGGAGCCTGAGTTAAACCAGCCTTTACTCACCACAGTCAAATGCTGCAGTAAATACGCCACATCAACCATGTCGGCCAGAACGAGCAGCCTTGTGACAGCCGCAAGCAGGGAGCGCGCTGCCGGGACAACGGCCTGCCTGCGGGGCAGGGAGCAGGGATCGCTGGTGAACGCCTCTGCTGACACCTTCAGGGCTTGACCTGCAAAATGAACACATACACATAGGCTGCATTGCAACACTCAAGGGGAAAGAAATCGTTAAAGCTCCATCAGGTACCTGGCAAGTCACTTGGCATCTCCTTGTTGCCCTAACGCCTTGAAATGAAGGCAAATTATTACAGATCATGCAGGATGTTCCACATTTTGAATGGTATTCCCTTTCTGTTCTACTGAATCATTTAATTCTGAAATAATTCCCTTGGTCTTCACACTACTACTCTTAACCATACACAACAAAGCCAGGGACAATATGTTAAACTTCTCTAGTCACTGCTTGTTATATTACTGTGTACTTTGGTGTCCTTGCTATTAAATAATTCCTGGTCACAGAATGAATCAAATATTGTTCTCCTCATTACAAATATAAGTTAATGGAATGAAAACTTCATAGACTCAGACATCTGACTGACATGAAATACATGAAATCTATGCCATGCAGCTACTGACTGTGCCAGTGGACAGCAATATACTGCTCCCCAACGTGAAGTTTTAACTAAATTTAATTAAATTTAACAATAACAACAGTGACAAACACCCAAGTTTAATAAATACATTCACACCTTGTTCAGTCATGCATTAGCCTCAACTATTATTAGCCAGTATGCATTAGCCAATAACCCACTATTACTGACTCAGAATAACCAGCCAGGGGTGTCTCTGTGCACGGTAAAAGTGGTCTAAACAAAGCTGACCAGGAAAGCAGAGCTACAGATTGGAAAGGAACTGCCTAATTAGGAAGGAGTGAAAGTACTCAGTTGTGAGAAGCCCAGACAGGAGTGAATGGTGAGCCTGTGAGTTAGCAGTTGAATGGATCAGGAAAGAAGTGAGATATAGCTCAGCTGAGGACAGGAAACAGTGCTATTGCCAGGAATATTTAATAAAAGTTGGGAACAAAAAACAAAATTCTGACAGCACAGCAGCTCCTCAGAAACCTCTAATGTAATGTTTTCCCCCTCCCACAAACATGAGGCTGAACTGCATATTCACAGGCCACACATGTGATTATTTGCCCAGGTCTCTGCTATTGTGCCTTCCAGAAGACAATGGCTGTATGGATTTGCATGTCTCTCAAGCACCTGAGACACTTCAAAACTGCAAATAGTCCCAAAATCTGAAAACAGTACCCTTTCAACATGTATACCCTTAGCCACAAAGGTGATTCAGGGACCAGAGCACCTGTCATACAAGGGAAGGCTGAGAGAGCTGGGACTTTTGAGGCCAGAGAAAACTCAGGGGGATCTCACCAGTCTGCACAAACACCGGAAGGAAGGTGAAAAGAAGATGGAGCCAGACTGTTCTCAGTGGTGCTCAGTGACAGGGCAAGAGGCAACGAGCACAAACTGACACACAGGAGACATTCCATCTAAACATCAGAAAATGATTTGTCACTGTGAGAGTGACTCAGCAGGGGCACAGGCTGACCAGGAAGGTTGTGGAGTCTCCATCCTGGGAGATATTCAAAATCTGACTGGGCATGGTCCTGGGCAGACTGCAGGCCCTGCCTGAGCCAGGGCATTGGACCACCTGACCTCCAGAGCTCCCTTCCACCCTCAACCATCCTGTGATTCTGTGAGCAAAGACAAAAACAGAAGGGTCTGAATACGACCAGCCCCTTAGAAATGAGTTGGACGTAAACTGGGATGGCCAGTTGAACAAGTATAAAATCACAACCCTAAAACAGAGCTATGAGATGTAGGCTAGGCAGATAGGAGCTAGAAGTGCAAACAGCAGAAAATGACAGCTCCAACAACAACATGACAAGAACTTTCTTAAAACACAGTAAACTGCATGACAGTCTGATGCAATTTCATCTATTTTTATGGTAATTCTCATCAAATGAATATTATTCCATAGTTACATTTGTCACAAACAATGAAACACAAAAAATGCCCTTTTAGTGGCACAAATAGGGAATGGGAAAGGTGGCAGTATTCATAATATTTCAACTATTTTAGACAATCAAATGAAAAGCAATTCAAAGAATCAAAGACAGGCTATATCATAACTACACAATTATTGGCAGGCAGATATTTCCAAGACTCTTTTCAGCACACACACATAGATGACTCCCAAAGTAAATGGTGTTCTACCATTAGCTAATCAGCTATTGACAGCTACTGGTGTGTCAAATGACTGCCACTTACACACATGCTCACAAAAATCTCTGCTTAGGCACAAGGAGAGGTAAAATCATGGTTCAGCCACAGGTAGAAAACAGTTGGAGGATTCATGCACTTTATCCATGTCCTGGGTTACACAAAAATTCTAGTATCAGCCTTTTCCTTCTCTCTCTTCTCCAAATATGCCTCTTTGGTTTTTTTGGTGTTCTGCCTTCTTTAAAGAGAGTGAACTGCTAATGATTAATGACTCCAACAGCTGCAGTGACTGCCCAGGTGCTTTGTAAGAGACTGGACTCTTGTTGCTAAAGGCTCAATCAGCCCTATGCTTTGCTAACAATTTGCGGAGTGGCCATCCAGGCCAGGAGCTGAACGCTTGCATATCCAACACCTCAGGCTATAAACTGGGTGTTAAACAAGATAACGAAAGCAGCAAACTTGGACTTGATCACCTCAGAGGTCTTTTCCAACCCCGTAGATTCCATGAAACTCTTTGAGGTGGGGTAGTGCTTCTTTTTCCTTACACAGATGACTCAGCTGAGATAACTCCCCAGAACATTCACACCTGGCCTGAAGGGATTCATCTCTTGTTGATAAGCCATAGTCAGCCAAAATGGACTCAGCTGCACTGAAATACGAGACAGCTGCAACATCTTAGAAGGGTCAAAGACTCCTGAAGTATCCCTGACTCACAGTATTATATTATCCAGTGTAAAAATCCCCAGCCCAGGAGAGATACTGGAGGTGCTCCCATCTGAACCCGAGCGCGTGTAATCGAGTTTTCGGGCTTCCCTGCCCACTCGGGGCTCCCACACCACAGTGATGGATCTGGACTGTGAGCAACACTTTGAGCAAAGAACATGGAAATTGCACCAACAAAGTTTCACTGCTGGATCCAACGGGTGTCTTGCAGGTCCTTCCAGTCACTTGGGTGTTTGTTCCCAGCCCTGTGCCCACTCCTGTCCCAGTTTCTCCTTATCGATTGGTTTAATCCAGTTTTATCAGTATTGTTATCAGCATTCTTCTTGGTGAAGAGTTATTGTTTCACTTACAGCCATATTTGGTGTCCCTTTTCAACCAGGGGCATTGAATCTGAGGGAGGAGACTTCTGTCTGAGGTCTCCAATCCCTCCAAATTATCTCCAACCAAGACAATCCAGCACCAAAAATGTCCAGAAACTTCCACGGAAATTCCTTTCAAAACAAGTCAACCATAATCCTGTCGGCAGTCAGCTGACAGCTTGTGCCAGGCCAGCAGCTGGTGGCAGGCATTGTGTCCGTACTGAGACTGCAGCCACATGCTCTTGGTTTAGGCAAGATCAACAGGATTATGCTTTCTTATTTCTTTGAATAGATTGTCTTTTTCATGCTAAATCTAACCATCACATTACTCTCTCTTCTATTTGTATTTACAACTGGCTTTCTCCTCTCATTTTTTTTTGTTATTATTTTTAGCTGCAGCAGTGTGAAACCCACATGGAATGCAGCGAATTTTATGCCATTCTTGTGTCCTCCCACAAGGAGGTATTGTTGCCAAGAAAGTCCAGTCACCCACTCCTGTGAACTGCACCATTAGAGGCTGGTGGATTTACAGTTCCAGAGAAACACAGTTGTCAAAAGGAGCTCATTTACTAAGGGAGGGAGGGACATACCAGAGCCAGTAAAAAGAGAGTATTTCAAACGTCCCAGTCTCAAACTTGAGAGAAAAAAAATACAAACAAACAAGAAAAAAACCCACAATGGTTTATAATACAAAATCATAGAATGGTTTGGGTTGGAAGGGAACTTTAAAAGATCATCTAGTTCCAACTCTCCTGACGTGGGCAGGGACACCTTCCATTAGACCAGGTTGCTCCAAGCCCCACCCAACCCGGCCTCGAACACTTCCAGGGATGGGGCAGCCACAGCTTCTCTGGACAGCCTGTGCCAGGGCCTCACCATCTACATCAACCTCTTTCAGTTTAAAGCTTTTCCCCCTTGTCAAAAGTCCCTTTCCAGCTCTCTTGTAGGTCCCCTTTCGGTACTGAAAGGCTGCAATAAGGTCTCCCCAGAGCCTTCTCTTCTCCAAGCTGAACAACCCCAGTTCTCTCAGTCTGTCTTAACAGGAGGTGTTCCATCCCTCTGATCATCTTTGTGACCTTCCCTGGACTGGCTCCAACAGGTCCATGTCCTTCTTATGCTGGAGGCCCCAGAGCTGAATACAGTATTCCAGGTGGGGTCTCAGCACCTGGTTAACAGAACAGTTAATAGAACACTTACTAACTGTGATAACTCAGATTCCCACAATAGCTTTCTGTAGATGTTACAGGACATTTCTCTCCTGTCACAGAGTCTTACCTCACTTAGACATCACTGTATTCTGTTGCATTGCAATTATTTCACTGCTGCATACCAGGAAGTTCCACTTCCACATCTCATACAGTTCTTCCTAATGTGTAATCAGAGCCATCACAGCCCCCCATCATGCCTTACATCCACATCTTCATTCCCCCTTTCCCACTCAGGGACACCTGATCCCATGATGGTGATGTCAGAAGCTTTTCTACAAGGCATCTGTTCTTGGTTTGATGAAAAGCATGTACAGCACAGGTTATTTTAAGCCATCTGAATATCTAAGTTCTGTCTCTAACAGAATTAAAGTCCCTTAAATGCAGAACACACACATGTACCTCTCAATGTGGGAAGAGAAAGTTAAGTTTACTTTTAAGATGAGGGGAGGCACAAATAAGAATATAGTATAATACAAAAGATCACTTTACCCTTCCTTTAGTAAATGTCCTTAAACTCCCCATTTCTTGTCAGTGAATGGTAGTTTCTTCCATGCCATAAAAGTCTTGCCTCCCTTGTTTAATGTCAAAAGACATTAAATATGGACATTCAAAATATCAAAGTATTTTTTATAATTTCCTTTCAAAGAGCTGAAGGCTCAGAATGTAACTCCAGCCAGTAACTTGCTTTCAGTTCACTGCTATGTGTGATGAAAGGCTTATCTAGGAACACACTTGAGCATGGTAATAGCCAAAGGCAAGAAACACTGACATTGCAAGAGAGAGAAACAACACAGACAACTGTTGTGTTTCTGACTATATATAGTCAGTAAGCAGTGGCATTTCAGCTATGCCCACGCAACTGTTTGAAAACTATAAACCATCACACCTCCACTCAAATGCAAAAAATCATTATCCTAAGTATAATGCTAGACTTTAATTCAGATTTCTGAGACAACATTTCACCACACAAACTACAGAACCGTTTTGTCTTAAAACTGATTAAATCTCAGAATCAGGACATTCATTAGAAGCTGATGTTTAGTGTCAGAAGCATTCATGGTTGAACAATGCTTCTTACCCCCTTTGCATTGGGGTCACTTATTTCACAAAACATTGAATCAGAAGGGAATCTTTTGAACTTCTGTACACATATGAAATCTGTCAGTGAGAATTTTTAAATATACTTATTTTGGGGTTTATTACACTATTTTAGAATAAAAATGTGAGCATGAGTACCCTTTAACAAAGCTTCACCAAATCCACTCAACAGGCAAACGTGGCAGTTCCTCAGTTACCAGGCTGGGGGGTTTCTGGGTGATGACAGGCCCCCACCCACACACCTTCCTGCTGACCCATTGAGCTGAGTTCCAGAAGAAGGGGAATCAAGATGGGGATAGAGATAGGCCTGAAAAGTAGTTTCTTGACAGGAAACAAAGAAAAATGCAGAGGACCTCTGTATTAAAAGATCAGCTCAAAGACTGTGGTAATACTTTGCAGATGTCAAGGAAGCAGACATGAGATTTCTTCAGGTTACATTCATCTGCCATTCATTAGAGCAACACCTTCTTTCAAAGGTCACTAACAATTCAACTAAATTTGAGTTACCAAAATCTCATCTACTGAGTGTCAAGACCAAACTGTAATCAGCGAAGCCATACCCATGTCCAGATTTCTGAAGACCATGAATCACTCGTGCATCAGATGAATTAAATACGACAAATCTTATGACTGCTGTTCATTTTAATCCTACTAATTTGCTCCTTTATTCTCCAAAATTATGTACAGGATTATCAGAAGCATCTTGAAAATAGTCCCTTAAAAGGAACTTCTATTAAAGAGCTCCAAAAGTAACAAAGCAGCATTTTCACACTGGTGACTGACATTCCAAAGTAAGGCTTCGATTCTCATGTTGCATCCTCAACTCACCAAGTTCAGTGAGTCACACAAACTAAAACTCACGAGGAGGGGAGAGAGGATTTATTCTTTCCAGATGTCAGTGTGCAACTCTGGGTCACATGGGAGTGACATCATCTACAGCAACGTTTCAGGATGCCATTATACAGTAAATACGAGCTGGAACCACATGCAAAAACTCCTAATTTATTTAAAATTGTATTAATAAAGATACACCTGCCAGTCACCACAGAAAAGTATGCCCCTAGAAAATTAAATATGATATGCTATGACATGAATGGCAGGTGACTGCACACAACCACATGCACGCAATAGTTGACAACCCACATCCTTTCAAAGAGCTTGAAGTAAATAACAGGAGACATTTAACAGCAGCAGAATGTGGCTTGAATAACAGGCAATGAAGTTGCATACGATGTGGCACACCACAAATTAAAAATAACACATGGTTTCAAAGGCTACAGGTATCTGCAAAATTAATGAACTGCTATTTTTTTTTACAGTTGTTCAACAATTTCTTAAAATTGACTTGTGCAGTTTGGCAAATCCTTAGAGAGAGATGGGTTGTGAACACTCAATTTGTCATTGCATAATGACAGGTGATAACACGGATTTAACATTCTTTTAAAATGTATGAGGTGTATATAATCTACTTTATGTATTATTTATTTTTGTATTTATCTCTGGCCTTGGCTGAGAATCAATAAGTAATATAAAAATATTTCACATTTTCAATTTATCCATGTATAAAAATCAATATAAAGCTATATATTGTATTCTTGCCTTGTGTTATCGGCCTGTAATGGATGGGCTAACATTTTAAAAGTACTCCAAAGTGACTGATTTTTCAAGAGCCTCAGCTGATCAGTGTGACAGATAACAGTGACACGTGCTGGTCATAATGCTTTTAATCACAAAGGACCTTAAGGTATCTCAGACACCACATGCATATATCAAACTCTAAACCACAGCCATCTCTGGAGCCAGGAATCACTACCCTGAACAACAGCACAGACTCAGAAACCAGCCCAGCTGCACGGAGAGGAAGACTAAATGAAATAAAATAAATTTTAAAAATAAATTGATTAAATCACATCTTCAGTAAGAGCAGGGTGATACAATTAAAACATGCATGAATTGAACTTGTGATTTCTGCAGGAACACATTTAGGATGTCGATTATCTGACTTATTTGAGCCTGGCCTTCATATTCTCCCAAATATTTTGGCATTCATGGGGAAAGTAAAAATCAATAAAGCAACAAGGAGCCTGAAGGAAAATTCTCAGCAGACCACAAAACCTAGTCCTGTTCCATGAATCTCATTGGAAATAGGGAGATAAGCCACGACAAAATGGAATATGGCAAAACTCACCAAAGAGGAGCTGCTTTATCATGAAGGGATGACTTACAGTAGGCTACAGAATCCATCTTCCTCCTACTGAGGTCCCAAAACATACCTCCCAACAGGACTATTACCCTTTCCCAAAGGAAATCCTTACTACTGCACAAAAGAGGGAAGATTTTCAGGTTTAGATTTCTCGCTAAAAGGCCTTAATCCCGCATTTGGGTGAACAGCCTCTTTGCAAGAAGAGCATTAAAGCAAACATTAACTTCAATTTGTGCTTAACAGCCACTAAAATTGCCAAGGGGCATCCTGTATTCATTGAAAAAAAAAATTCCAACAACATAACTTCCAGTGATATAAGTCTTTTTCCACAATGGGGCCCAGCTTGCACACTTTACCTCCTTATAAGTGGTATCAGAGAATGCACAATTAGACAACAAAAAGTTCAGACATTTGCACATCAAAACACATTTCTCCTGGATATCCTACCTTCACTTTGACACCAGTGTTACATGGTTAAACTAATTCCTTGTGGGGCCTACACTGTTTGTCACATACTTACTCTCTTTCCTGACATCAGCAAGAGCTGCATGAAGTTCCTCTTTAAACACAGCTGCTTCTTTGGCAATTTTTTCTCCCTTGTCCAACAGATTCCAAGTGGCTTCTTCCACAGAAGCCAGCAAGACACGAGCTCTTTTGGAACGGCCCTTTTTCTTACTAGAAGGATTCTGTGGACAGTTCACTAGTGTTGTAACCTACAATTAAAGGAAACAAAAAACACAATAATGGTGTAAGTTCTACAATAAGTGAATTTATATTGTTCTCAAATTAAAAAAAATATATAGTTGAGAATAAGCAAATAGATTCCCACTGTTTTAGAGACAGGCAAGTTCAGCACACACGCTGAGAATGGACAAAACTACTGAATAAAATCTGACAGAGAATTTTACTCAATATGCCTCATTTTTGTGTTCTTTCTGTATGATCAAAGCAAAGTCATTAGAAATCTCATCTATGAAATCTCTCATCTCATCTAATAGAAATCTCTGATGCCGACTCCTGACACTGCTTATTTTAAAATTTGCTCATAATAATAACAACAAATTACTAGTGCTATCCAAGGAGGGTTCAGCAAGGAATCATTAAGGTTGGAAAAGACCTCCAAAATCAGAGTCCAACCATAAAGCTAACATTGCCAAATCCACTACCAAACCGTGTTCCTAAGCACCACATTCACATGTTTTTTGAATACTTCAAGGGATGGTGACCCCACCACTTCCCTTGGCAGCCTGTTCCAACGCTCGACACTCCTGTCAAGGGCAGAATTTTTCTTAATATCCAATCTAAACCTCCCTTGGTGCAACTTGAGGCCATTTCCTCTTCTTCAATCAGTTGTTACCTGGGAGAAGAGCCCAACCCCCACCTGGCCACAACCTCTTTTCATGGAGTTGAGAGCAATAAGGTTCCCCCAAGCCTTCTTTTCTCCAGGCTAAACACCCTCATCTGCTCCTCCTCAGACTTGTGCTCCAGATCCTTCCCCATATCCATTGCCCTTCTCTGGACACTCTCCAGCACCTCAATGTCTTTCTTGTCATGAGGGGCCTAAAACTGAACACAGTATTCGAGGTGTGGCCTCACCAGTGTACAATCACTGCCCTAGTCCTGTGGCCACACTATTTCTGATCCAGACCAGGATCCCACTGGCTTTCTGGCCACCTGGGCACATGCTGGCTTATGTTCAGCTGCTGTCCAACAGCACCCCCAGGTCCTTTTCCCCCTAAAGTGCTGAATCTTCCATATTTCCAGCTCAAGACTCCCAAGGTATCTCAGAAACAAATACTCAAAATGAGTACAGACACCTTTCCAAACACCTTCTCTTCTCACAAGGGAGTACCACAGTGGCCAGAACTCAGCACCTCTGAAGTCTTCGGTATGCTCTCAACATTAAAATTGTACATAATTTTGCCCAGAATGTAGTTATACTGCAGCTTTGTCCAAATTATATTTTTTAACAACGCATTTCAAACATCCATAAAGAACTTATTTTCATAGAGCATCCCACTCAACATTCCTCATCATCTGAGCACAGCCTCCACACTCCAACAGAATGTTTCTGAATAACTATGCTCTAAAGGCATTGCTTGAGCTGTCACACCACAGAAAGACTCCAAAAGGATTTTTTCTTTTTCAAGTGTTAGATATTTTAAAGCACACTTTATTTTCATTAAGTTCACTGATGTTTTTTAACCCTATGTTCTGTTCTCTGTGCTGAAGCATGGATAGTATAATATTAAGTACAGATCTAACCCTGGAGCTCCATGAACGCATTTTATACGTATGTAATTGCTTCATTTTATTAATGGCATTCCAACCACCAGTAATATTGGATAGGCAAAGCAAGAGAACTGACTCTGAATTTCTCAGGCCAGCAGGCAAACTCAGCTAAGTGCTGCAGAGGAGTAGTAGTTTGAGCTGGTCTGTGAAGGAGGGTTCCACACACAGGTACAAAATGAGAAGTGTGCTGTCTGTGCCTCAGCTCACCTTTAGATCTTGTCCGTGAATTCATGCACTCGAGTGCTTTTCATGAATCAGTACTTTTAAAAGTCACTGACAAACATCCTCTGGGAACATTTCTATAAACACATCTTTGAAAGATAAAAGCCCTGCCCCCTCTATCACTCATGTGAAATTTGGGGAGAAAAAGGACCATCCACTTGACAGACTGCTTCAGCAGGTCCCAAGGGAGACAGCAACATAAATAACTCTGGCTCAGATTGTTAGAGAGGGCTCATGTATTTTTCTGACTGTGGCTCAAAGGAAGAAAATGAAATTATTTACTGCACATAAATCAGCCGGCTGGTAAGAGAATGCACTGGGAATAAGAATCGTTCTACCTTTTATTTTTACAAACCCTCTAACATCAGTTCTAGAGCATTTAATGCAGTTTCAATGATCATATTTTTAAGAATGAGTTAAAGAGATTATAGGCTGATACTTCCAACAAGAAAGGCATCAAACACCATCAAAAATTGCAAACTGCCCCAAAAATCTACCATGTAAAAGATACTTTTTATGTGTCTTAGGTATTTAATCACATTTCCCAGAAAATAATATATTCTATTTCTCAGATTTTTACTGTAGTCTTTTTTATGTAAAATATCATTCATATGCTGAGAAGGAAAGGAAATAAAACAAATGGAAAAGCATGGAAGAAATAATCATTCCTGCAGGTGAAAACTCTTGACTACGAGACCCTTCATCTTCAGCATCACCATCAGGAAATATCAGAGGCAGCTTCTGATTTGATAGACAGTTCTTTGTTCATGGAGATTACAGAAAACAGAAAAACTACTCTGCATTCTCGAACACAGAATCCCAATGAGGAATGCAAAAACTTTATGCAGATCCCGTACAGAAAGAATTGAACCACACAGTAGCTCACATAGTGTGCCATTGTCAACACAGCTTTCACTGTAGTGGCAGAATACACAGTCAAAATGATATCATTACAAGAAAAAGAGAAAACATATCCCCATTTATCCTGCTCCTGCATGACTACATTTCCCAGTCATCAACACCTTGTTGTCACACACAGCAAGTCCCCCAGCACATCTCTGGTAGGAGCAAGAGCTGTGCTAGAGGCACAAGGGGGTTTTAAGTCGTTTTCAAGCCCATGTGCCATCACAGTTACAAAGCTGAATCTTGTTGCTGTTGCCTGTTATTGCCATTACTTATTAGGCTGAAGGGGTGGGGGGGTTTTGTCATAGTTATCCCAAATACTGAGTTCCTAAGGAACTGTGCAGAGGTTCTGTCAAGGCTATATTCAGTTCCAGGCAGCCCTTAGAGACAATCTTTTAATACTGCAGTAGTTCAAGAAACAATGTCTTGGTACCCTGAGTATAAAATATTTGGTTCACCTTTACCTTAATAGAAAAGTGTTTTTAAGCATCAATCATAAACCATCATTTTTTAAAAAAATTTAATTCGGTGTAACTGCAATCCCTAGTCATTTGAAAACGAACTCAAGTGATCTCATGACAACAGCAGAACCCCTGCCCACTGTTTCCAATCTGAAGTACTGCCCATACAAACACATCCTGGTTCATCCCTTTCAGCACACAGAAAGAAAACTCCCCGTACGGAGAATAAAAACCCACAGCGTGCGTTCTCTGGGTGAGCAAACTTCTATGGCATGGCTGACAGGGGAGAATAGAAGCCTCTCAACTCCCTATCCTTCATCAGTGATCCAAGGGACTCCAAAGGGCATGGATAGGGAAGTTGCCACGTCCAGGGGGTTTTATACAAAATAATGTGTCCTACCATTTTCACAGTTTCAAAGTGATCACCACTGCCAACTGCAGATTGCAGGGGTAAAAGTCAATCTAACAAAGTAATTTGCAAAGTTACTTCCACAACTACATCCTAGTTACTTCCTAGGCTGGTTTTGGCTTGATTTTCTCCAAGATTGATGCTGTTAACCTAAAGATTGCTCCAACATTTAGCATAACTGGCTAGGGCAGACTTCAGGGAACCTCAAACACTTCCACTGCTTCTTTCCTGCTACAGCATTACAAGACAAATTTATTTATAAATAAATTACAACATAAATCTCAAAGTTAAAATGTATTCCAGCAGCAGTTGCTAAGTGAATCTAGCAAGAACGTAATTTTTATCTGTGACTGGTCTGATTCTCTTTCTAATCACAGACCAGTTTTCATTTATTACCCTTCTAGCAGCTCAATCACCCTTCATTGAGTAATAGTTTTAACCTGATTTTGCATTTTCAGCACTTTTTTTTGTCTCCTTCCACTCAAAATTCAAGTTTTCTTTCCACAGTTCTGTTCTGAAACAAAGCATTAAGGTTGAAAGGGGGAAAAGACAGCCCAAATCATATTCTCCTAGAACCAAAGCACTTGCATTTTTAACAGACTCAAGCTTTTCTAAGATTGAGAAGAGCATAGAAAAGGACAGAGGTAAGAGATGGCTTCCTTGGGCTGTGTGTGACTAATTACATGCAGGTAACCCAATATCTTTGTTATACACACAAGGGAGAGAAAATTCAAAATAGCTGAAGTTTCAAAACAGATTTCCTTTCTGTTCTTCATCCTGTAACATATTGCTACAGAGGTCTCTTAACACTTTCTTAGTTATACACATTATTTGCAAAACGAGGTCAGGTCTTTGAGTAGGTCCTCTCCATGGTATTAAAGACCCTAAAATGCCCCAGAATGCAATTTCTCTCAAAATTCAGATAAAGAAACTCACCTACAGATTTTCTTTTCTACTCTGTCCACTACTTCAAATATGAAACTCTTCCTGCACTGGAAGTCCATTTGCTGTGTAGTCTACATTGAAACATCTACTAGATAACACTGTACAAGAGACTATCTAGAACATGTAACATTTAGTATGATACATTGTGTGGCAAAAATGGAAGTGACTGAACAAGTGACTAAATCTAGAAGAAGGCAGATCCCCCTGGACAGGTTCTGAGCCAGGATAAACTACAAGTGCAGAAGAGCTGTGTGTGTGCCTTTCATAATAATGTCCTTAGTCAAAGTTCTTCAGCCTTCTTCCCTTCCCCCCTATTTTCTGCAATCCTAAAATACCTGAATTATCAACGGTTCCAGTAATTTCTCCACTGTAAACGTCTGGATCTGCAGATCCCGAGGATCAATTTTCAGCTTAATGTTTGGCACTTTGGTTGACATTTCACCTAGGTACAAAACAACAAAAAAAAGTGCAGTAAGTAATTATTAGCCATGGCTGCAAGTCTTATTGCCCTCTGTCAGAGCAGAGAGACTGCCTATGGGAATATGGACTTGTTTCATAACAGCCTTAGGATTTCAAGAAAAAAAAGTAATTTTTACGATTCTTCCTTGTGAAAAAAAATATGCTAATGCTTACAGGGACTGTGAAATCATAGATTTAAAGTACATATAATTTCTTGTCTTCTCACACAGATTTCTACATTGATCACATATTAAAAAATACACAAGGATAATTGCATTAGAATACCATTAAATGTAAGTTCTCTAGTAGTCTAAAAAGGAGTTTTAAAGCAAAAATATTACATTACTGAATTTATCACAAAAACATTAATGCTATGTGCACATTATCTCACTCCATGTGCCAAATTACAGTGGTCATAATAAACACCTTAAGAACAAAAACATACAGCAGATCTTAGAGTTACTGGAAATTAATAGCAGGAGAAAATGAAGTATTTTGTCATTTTACAACATGCAATAACAAACCTTTTCTAAGTGTCAAGACAGATTAAGTCAAGACAGCCTATTACTGAAGTCAATAAGATGGAAGTAAAGCTAAGTAAGGTCTTTAAAGTGAATAAATCATTCATTAGGAACTTGATCCAAAGTCTGTTTATGTTAATTTAAGGGGTTTTACCAAGTTCACTGGGCCATGGTTTGGGCCATTAGCCTGAAATGTGTGTGTACAACCAGAGAATTATAACTGTGCTTTAGCTGGAATGCAACTGATTATTGTCCCAAAATAAAAGACACTTCAAATTTTGTAGTAATTTAACGTCCCACGAAACAGAGCTCAGCAAAGCCTTTTTAGCCAATAAAGACTTCAAACACACAAATAATGGGTATCTGTCATTTTTAAGCAAGACTTATTACAGCCATTGCTGCTGTATAATAAACTAATAAAGTACTGCAATTGTGCAGGCTAAAGAGATATATTGTTACCTTCCAGTGAACCTAGCATTGATTTAATACAACACAATAGGTTTAGGGTTTCTATAGCAAGTTGTGTAGAAATGGATCTGAAGAGTTATTCACATTTCACTTACAAGCAAAGATAATATCAACAATACTTAAAGAATTACAGTTAAAAACAATTTACAGGTTTGCCATTCTTAGTAAAGGTTACACAAGTGCCAAGTTCATTCTTTTATTACAAGCTGCACTAGTGGCAAACCTAAGTTCCCACAGATTCAGCTGCATTCAGCCAGGTGATACCATACGTAGAGAAGTGATTTTTCCATTTTAATTCCAAGCCAAAAGACAAAGAGAAGAGAGGCTTGAGATCAGACTGACCAGAATGACACTTTTCCTTCCATGGAAATGAATAATGGAAAGAGAACTCTAGAAAATGTCAAAGCAAATTATATGGCTGGATTTTACACATTCAGCATTTAGATACTTGCAACAAACCCCAATGAGATAAAATCTGAGACTCCCAAAATCACCAGCGTCAGTGGTTCTCTTTCTGTAGGCAGGATATTCCAACAGTTTTGAAATACTCCTTATCCCTCTGTTGGAAGGGAACTGATCCCCCTCATAATTCACTGCTTCAGAAACAAGTGGTGGGAAAGGTCTGCAGCCCTTCTGCCAGATCCAATTGCTGTGCCTTCTCCCTCCCAGGATGAAGTGGGAGCTGTGCAGGTGCACAGAGCACACCTCTTACTCACAAAGCCTCACTGCAGCTGCTACAAAGTGCCTTGCAATGGATGGATGACTCGCTATCTTCTGTTCTACTCATTGGAAAATACTGATTTACTCATTGAGCTCAGAACAAAACACTCTGCAAACATGGAATAGAGACTGTAGAGACTGGCAGTTAGGCATGCTCTCAGCAGGCAAGATACTTTGTTTCCAAACTAAGCAACGTTTTCAGAATTTCAGACCACTAGAGACAGGAGACATCAAAAATCAACCAGCATCAACAAGCACATTCAACATGTCCTGCAGAACCAGATCAACAGCCCATCCAGCCCAGCATGTTTGCTATGGGTCAGGCTGTCACTTCTTGACAATACACTGTATATGCAACAAAGCAAGAAATAAGGCAGGCTCTTTCCATCTACCGCAGTGGAACAACTGCTATAAGACAAATTTAGAATCACTCAGAGTGCTCCATTCAGCTATGGCTTGGGTCATCATGGAAGTGCAACACCTCCTGACTTCTTCACATTGTGCACATAAACACCGCGAGAGGACTAGTATAAAATGCAGTCTCAAAGGACTAACACCTATTAATTGCATCATTTCATTGAACAATGAATATTCAGAAAGGTTCCATGCCTGCCAAGTAGATTAAAATTCTAGACAAAGATAGTTATTTCTAGCAGCATTTGCTCTGATAGCAAGGGAGCCATGAGTAACCTGGAAGCCAGGTTCCCACCAACATTCAGAGCTCCACACAATCACTGGAATTAAAGACAGCAAATATGAGCGAGAGATTCTTTTGAACCCAATAAAGTAAGCTCTCCCCTACAGTACTAATAACTTGCTCTGAAAGCCATAAACGTCTGTCACTCACACCCTTGCTGTCTCCTCAGCTTCAGTTCCAAACTGCATTGGTATTTATTTGCCTCTCCCCTAACAAAACCATAGTGAGTGCACCTTGGATTGTCCTGCAGTGTTGGCAAACACCGGGTCACGTCTGTGCCCACCTGCCAGCACATTGGTGCGGTCTCTGAACATACAGCAGAGAAGCATCTGTGCTGTTATTGCTATGTCCACCCCTGTGGGATGATGGGCAGGGTTAAAATTTAGAGGAGACTAAGAATTCTTAGGGTAAAATCCAGTTGCAAGTCCTTGGACGGAATGCAGTCGACACGCTCCCCATACGATAATCATGTGCTCAGAGGGATGGAACAGAGAGCGGAACAAAGTGAAGTCTACGTGGCCTCCCTCCATTGAAATCCTGGCAGAAAGGGGAAACACTGTGCTACTTGGAAGATCATGAGACCATACAGTATCTGTCAGCCAAGGGAGAAACAAGGAGTTCTGCTGCTGAGCCAACAACCACGTCAATACCCCCCTCAGATGACCACCCTCATCCCATTAGTTGTGGTGAAAGAACTTTACACCAATCAGAAATAATATTTATGACTAGAACTACTCAAGCTCCACCTAAACATAAAGAAATAGTATAAAAGTAATAGTATAAAAGTTGGGGATAGGGGGAAGATTGCAGAAGACTCCACTGAAACTGCTGGGGTCAGCTGACAGGCTGAGCCCATCTTCTCCCCCCACAGGGATGCCCTGGGTAAGAATTATACTCTACACAAGTTAAATGCTGTTATTAGTACTAGAGCTTGTGCTTCCTTAATATATATCTCAGTAGATTGCTCTAAAAGTCTCCACATTGTTGGCTGAGCCCCCCTGACAGGGGCAGTCAAATCCCCCTCTGATCTTGTGACTGTTGGGGAAGGGTCTCATTAGGAGACAGTGACTCGTGGGACACGAAGGTCTCGACTTTCCTGGGGGCACCAACAGACAAAATCTAAACTCCCCCCCTTTCACGTGACAACTCCTGATTCCAAAAGCATTTTAATTCAACAAGACACTCTCCTCCAGCTTCATGGGATTGCTTCAAAGGCAGACTCTTTTGTACAATCTGCAATTCACTGGTTTTCTAAATCTTTGGCCAACATTTCAAACTGCCTTTTATTCACATTAGAAAAAAATAAATCTTTATGATATTGCTGGTTACCAAGCCTTATCTTCGACATTTTCAGGAGCCTCCCAGTATACGGACACTTCTTGAAATCCATCACAACAGCTGCAAATAGATAGTATTGATTGTGCTGTGAATTTTCATATATCAGTTGCAAGGGGACACGTAAGAAATAGTTGGAGACAGTACTTGGTGCTTCTACTGAGATCTGAAGACATAGTTTTAACTTTGCAGTGGCTTCCTCTCAATTCCTTGATAGAAGGGTGTTACAACTGCTTTACTCAAAATCCAGAAATAAAACCTTTGCTGCTTGCAGCAGAGCTGCTCTCCGTTCTCGCAGCACAACTTCCCATGCTACAGGTCATCTACAACAATCAGATCTTTTATAAAATTTGGCAGATAAAAATATAGTTGCAATTACAGTCAATTCCTCTTACTAGAGATCACTGAGCTCCAGAATTCCACCCCTGAGCAGTCTCAAACTTGGAAAGTGTTACAAATCCAACCTCATTTTTGCAGGTCAGAAAAATGTGAATCCACGTGCCATGACTCTTCCTTTTCTGGGTTGTGCTGGGGTCTTGTTTGTTTGCTTGGTTTTGAACCTCAGCATATTGTCTAACATCAGCATTTTTATTCTTTGCTTGAACCCTGAGTTCAAAAGGCCAGGTGAGCCAATAATATCTTTTAGCCTTGAGTCAGGCCCATAACTCATCATTAACTGAAAGTCAATTGCAAAAACTATTGTCTCTGAAAATTTCAATTATATTCTAAGGTATAAATAACTCATTTCAGGAGTCACTTCCTGATTCCAGTAATTTTTTTTTTAAGTAAAATTCTAATGTTTTCTGAAACTTCCTTTGAGTAGCCCAAAAGATGGAAACAACCTTGCAAGCCAGTGCAGGGGAAACTACAAAATCTTAAATTATTTTGATACCTTGACTACATACTTTTAACCTATGAGGCTCTCCTTACTGTTATATACCATACTATATGGTAACCAATATTTAATTTTGATTTTTAATTCATCTTTTTTTTAATCAAGGCAAGTATCATAGGTGATAGAAAGAAAAACACGCAGCCAGTAAAGATCATTCTGGGATGTTTTCTGATATTTCCACTTAGTACGGGAATTTCTGTCCTTCCAGATCACACTCACTAAGATGACAAAAATCTGGTGTTTGCCTCAGGAAAAAAATGAGAATCACAGTCCATTTTCTTTTTTTTGGAAATGTATATGTCTAGTCCAGTATATATGCCTCCTAATGACAGCAGGGGTCTTGACTGCGAGATATTTTGGCAGAAGGCTGCTATAACCTCACACCCGGTTAGATTAACCTTTACAGTGGGCGATTTCAGCACTGGAGACGAGCTGCTCTTACAACACTTAGGATGTTAAGCATGTGTCACAAGATACAGTTGTGTCCCAGAACAGCCAGAAAAGCAACCACCTGCACGCTCCTATCAAGTGCTACAAACTTCAGTATCAGGAGAATTTTGTCTTTTCATCAGACATGGCCAAAGACACTGGAAAAATGGCCAAAGGCACTGGAAAAACAGCCAAAGTCTGTATCCATCTGCAGCACAATGTGAATGCAGCACCTGCAGCTTTTAAACCATCTGCATATAGATACAATAAGTGTCAGAAAGCAGAGCCAAAGATATTCTGCATAAATTAGAAAATCTGAACTTTAAAATCCATTTCCTGCTAGAGCATAAAAAAGCCAACAGCGTATCACTCACCTATCCTAGAAAACACATGGTCCATATTCAGCACTAAGGCAACTATGTAATTTCCTTGGGTGAGGAACTTCAGTGCAACTGCTGTGGCTCACTATGGGGCTCCTGAGGCATCTGCAAGGCACCGCCTGACAAGCTCTCCAGTGTATTTCAGGATGACTGACAGGACACAGTGGCTGCTGGAGGGCTGGCAGGGGGATGGGCATCCTTAAAGCTATACCCGAGGGCACAAGCATGGCAACAAAAATCAGAGTTAACAAGCTTTTGAACAATTAGATGACATGAAACATGTCATACTTCTAGTGATCGCTCTTGGAATTTTCAGCACAGCTGTTTTCCCATATATTCCAGTTGTATGCCAACTTCTGTCTGGAGGCAATGACTCACTCTCAGCCTCCTGAGCTGGACAGCAAAGGGATTCATAAGGCTCTCACCCAGTCACTTGGCACCAAATTTGTTTTCTCTGTTGTTTTTTTTCTATTGTGTAGTACTCTATAATGACATAAAATATATTATCCTATCAATCTCACAAAATGCACGGGCCTATTGGCTTCTGAAAAACGAGGAAAACTAGAAAAAGTATTAAGACAAAGTAGTCTTGATTTGTTTTATAACTAAAGATACACACGGACAGGGCACTGGAGAATATGTAATAGAATGCTTTTTATTATTTGGTCTTAATTTCAATATTTTTTATACCGCTTAATCAGTCGGTACCAACAGCACTCTGGGAATAAAATTTATTAGTCTTTTTGCTAATGAGCCAGTACAGCGAGAGCTAATCAGACTTCAGAGAAGTCACAAAAACAATCGCTGCATTTCTCTTTAATTCTCCAGCTGATATATGAAATAATATATTCAGAATTCCAAAATGTTCTAGTTCTGTTCCCAATACAACAATTCTTTTGCTTGAAGACCCTTTGTGGGCCAGACCAAGGCCCAGAATGGAGCAGTATCTCCAACACCTGCGAACGATCTGGCCCATTTAATACTGGGGAAAAGCTACAATGCACCTGCCAAATTATTTAGATTTCCAGACAAAGCTGTCAGGTTACACCCTAACCATCTCAGACTTTCTCACTTCTTACCACTGGCAACAAGAAACACTCATGTTATTCCCATGTTAATGTACAGACATCAGAAAGGAAAGAAGAGCTGGAGAATTGAAGAAGGTGACAAGATTCAGATCGATTAATAACATTTAGTAGCTGAAAGCTACTTTATTTAAACAGGCTTTGCATTTAGGTGTAGATTTGCAGTGAAGTAACTAGAAAACAAAAACCACAGTACTTCTTTTTATACTCCCTTTCACTTCTGCCTGTGTCTACTTTCTCCCTAGAGCACTTTTTCAATCCACACCTGAAAAGCAGTTGAAATTCCCAAGGACATAAGATTTCCAAGGTCTTCAACATAGTTCTCAGCATAAACAGTGTTATATATCATCCCTTAAAATCAACCTACCAAGGAAAAGAAACTAGCTTGGGCCTAGTTCTAAATATCTGTAACCTTCTGATATTTAGTGAGATAAAAAAATTAAGATTTTCCCCAGGGTTATAACATTCAGAACATGCTCCCTTTTCCTTGTTTAACACTCAGACCTAGTTTTCCTACAGTGCATTCCATCAAAGCACTTTTACAAGCAAAGATTGTGTTTCAATATTACATAAGGAAATAAAATCACAAAGGAAAAATTATTTACTCAGGATCACAGAGAATGCCAGTGGCAGAATCAGGGACAGAGTGCTGGGATAAAACTATCATAGTCACTGGAGCACCTTACTTCCACTTTCTTTAACTGAGGCCAATAAGCAGGCTAAGGAGAGTAAAACATTTCCAAATACAATTTACACTATAAATCTAAAGTATATAGCATCTTCTTCCATACTCATATGATAAGTTTACCCAATTACTAGTATTCTTATTCCTAGGTCAGCTAATACCTTCATGTCCCTTAAACACACCACCAGAATTCCTGCCTTTGGTGAATGCACACACTTCCAGCTGCGACACAGCGACAAATTCTAGGAGTCGCTCCAGCAGAAGTGTGAATCCTACAGCCTGACCAGCTACACAGCTTTTGGCTTTGCACTGGCATGCCAGGCTGGTTTTCAACAACAGCTATCCAAAAAAATGTGTGTTATGGTCCTGAGCCTACAGCCACAGCAAGAAAACTCTTCTCCGCTGAAACGCAACCACGGGAACTTGGGAACTTGACAACAGCCTCACCACCTTCCCAGTCAACTAAACCATTGCCCTGCTCAGCGGAGTTCTAGTGGACATACAACACTGTGAGTGGCAGCAGAATCAAAAGAATACTGCTTAGTTTAGAATTACTTTAAGAATCTTATGTTTGTAAGATTTCTTCCAGGTACAGTTTTGCAAGGACCAAGTTTTTGGTCTAGGAACTACACTTGTAATATTTAAGGTACTGAAATAAATATTTACTTTATAAAAAAATACCCAACCATTTTTTGGATCCATTTCAAATTCTTAAAGAAAAAAATTCCTTTCACATGAGTCTCAGTGCTATTTTCACTGCATGCACTTTGAGCCCAGAACAAGGACCCCTCTCTATTTAAGTGGCATACAGTTCTTACATGGATGGCTATCCTGTGCTCCTAAGGATAGGTCAAGAAGGTCTGGCTCCAATCCCTCCCTTTTGTTATCACATTTAAAGTGTTCCTATCTCTATTCAGAACCAGAGGCTCTGTTTAAATAAAGTTCAAGTTGACCTTCCACTAAAAATAGGATATTGTTCAACTCATTAAAAAAAAATAGTTAACAAAAAAATTCCATGATGTGCTACTAAAAGGTTTTAAAATTTTATTTGTTATGTACAATTCCCCATTTCCCCTTTTTGCTGACAATTATCTATTCCAACATTACACTCTACTGCTTTGCTTGACAAATGTCTTTGTCTTGCTCAGTTGCAATGAGGTAAAAAAATGTGGTTTTTTATTCTTTGTAGAGCTGCTACTGATTTTGCCAATGGATTTGGTTGTTTCATACCCTGCATTACCCCAGGATGCTTCACCATCACGTACTAGTTTATGTAACTATTTTCAAACTGACATAAAAGTTTGCATTATTTGTTTTGTCCACTGACCCAAACAGTAGTGTAGTATTCCCGAATAGTGTCCTTCTTCCCCATTACCTACAGACACGCACAAAACAATCCCAAAACAAAGGGTAGCAAATGTGACTGATACTTTTGAAGCATATATATTGATTTTGAGATACGCTTGCAAATCACTTTGGGTGCAGGCAAGGAGCTACCTAGTGCTACCTAGCACATAGGAAAGCATAATGCAATAAACAGGGACAGAAAAACAGTATTTAAGCAAAACCACAATCCCACCATGCTATGCCTGAATAAATGGATAGACCTTGACATGCACATTTACTCCTCCAATGGGGTTCCCAGTGCTGCATGGCACCCTATTTCCTTTATCAACTCAGACAACCAGCTTCAAATCAAAACTTGGCTCAGAAAAAAACCTCTGTATAGCTGATACAGTATTTCTGGTGAAACAGCTTCAGAAATAAAGACTGAAGACATTCCTGCCCATTTTGACCTTTGCTCTCATTTCAACTCAAAATGATTTGGGTGAAGAGCAACCATAAAGAAAAAGGCAAAAAAACCCAAAACTTGTTCCAAGGTGGATTAGTTTTCCAACATCAACCAACTGATTTGGAATAGGAGAAAACATTAACAGTTCAATATGCATTTTTCCTAAATGTCTGTCATGAAGCCTAATTCTTTGCTGTTGGATATCCTTTGGGCTTCAGGAGGTCTGAACACAGCTCTTGCCTTTAATAAGAGAAATTCAAATGGATTTTACTTAAGAGAAAATTGTGCACATAAAGGTTTTGAAAAATGCAGAAGGTTGTACTGAACGTAACAGCCCATCATTACCCCTCACTTATAAACAAGTGTCTTCTATATTTTAAAATCAAAAGCAAAGTTATAAAATCATGCAGTAAGTCAGTATTTTCACACTGAGGCGTGATAAATATACATTTACATAAACCTTCCTTGCGTGAGATGCCTAATCCAGCAAAGTGCAAGGGGGTAAGTTGAACTTTTTTAAATAGCAGCATCTATGCAACATTTTATTCTTCCTTTTCCATTATTTCAATACGGTTTCTCATGTGTGGAAGATAAGCAAACACATTGTACAACTTTGGCTACTGGCTTAAAGCGACATAACCACGATGATTTAAAATACTAATAACACTTTTAAAACAGTCATGTTTACAGTTCTTTTTTTAGCAAGTTGGTTAAGAAAACCAGCATTTTAACTCTTTTTAACTTTTGAACTCGTTATTTTATTAAACAACTCTAACAGTTCCATTTACAGCTTCATGTACTTCCACTTACATGGAAAATTGCCTACATTCCCCTTCAATCTTACCTTTTGTTTCAAGAATCTAACTAAAGAGTTCCTAGAAACAGCTCTGTGAAGAACTCTCTTGATGCAGCTTGACTCCTGAGGCAGCGACAGTGAGACAGCAAATGGTTGCCTGTCATTCCCAGTCTATGAGAAACAAAACAGGAGGGGAAGAGTCAAAACTGGGAGGGCAGTACTCAACTGGAACTCCTCCCAAAGTGGTAGTGCCCGACTGAAAACACCACTTAGAGACACCCAAGCTCATTCCTAGTCTTGCAAACGTTGTCTGACACCGAGCTTTTAGATCCTAAATCAGACACCAGTGAAGTAAACGGCAAAGCCCCCTCAAAAATCAGGGAGGTTTAGGTGGAACATGAGAAGCGAAAGGGGAAGAAAGCAAGCAAAGACCATTACTGTAAATCCCAGCCCAAACACAGATGTAATATACAAATCATAAACGTTCATGGTTTGTATGAACAGTCTTCTTCATTTACCTTCAAAAAACAACCAAAACATACTTCCAGATTCATAATCCCACATTTATAAGATTTTCCACCAAGAGAGCCATTTAAGAAATGGACATGAGTGAAGTTTTGCTAATTTGCTATTATAGCAAATTTGAGTACCCTGAAATGCAGTTTGAAATAGCACTCATGAACAAAAAACCTCTGGAAATTCTAAACAGGCAAAGGTTGCTCAATATTTGTATCTATTCTGCTAAAGACTCTATTCTGCTGCTTAAGATCGTAGCGGTCTTAAACCATTCAGTCTGAAAATTTGTATGAGGTCCATGTGTCATGGGCTGAATTTTCATTTTGGAAAACTTCTACCAAAGCAGTTTTGCTATTTTTTAGGTTATTTAGAGGTAAAAAGGGCACAGACAGCCCAAAGGTTGAGATAATCTGACACCATCTAATAGCACTGGAGAGGCTCAACTAGGAGGAAAAAAAAATAACCAACTAAGGAAGGAGCACATATTGTGACTACTCAGAAGAGAGAAAGAGAAAAAAAACCACAAATACTTGGACATACATGGATTATGGATGCAAAAGCATCAAATATTACTCATATAAACTAAGCAGACTTTCCTAGATGGTACAATAATTTATTACAGGGAAATGTACCTGCTATTGCCATATTAAACTTACAATTTTATTCATAATTCATTCCTCTCAGGTTTATATTTCAAGCTCGAACCTTGGAAAAAATCCTTCTTTGCTCACTTGCTATTCATGAATTTAGGAGGCATGAACAACAATAAACAGCGAAGAAAGGTGCTGGACTAAAAAAGATTTAATTTTCTGAGTACTGTATTAAAACTACGGGATGCAACGAAAGTATAAATCTTACTAACTGCAGTTAGTATTTCTCAGCATTTGTTAGCTCTCTCAGTTCATGAATGTTACTTTAAAGTTAAGAACAATCAAAACCACAATTCACTTCATTGCAAAATTCCATATAGACAAATGAAGTTATGTAGATGATCCCCATTGCATCTTTTTAATCATTAGATCTTTGTAACCACATCAGTGTTTTATTTATGAAGCAAATTACTACAGTGGTGAACAGCAATCCTCTTTGTTTTGATTGGAAAATTTGTCTTTCAACCATTAAAATTTGGAATTGGTAAATGAGTGTTAGCCCATCAAATTCTGTATATACCCGAATGTCCCGTGCCATTACTAGGAAGAGATGTATTGAGTCAATAAAATGCAGAAATTACATACGAAAAAAAAAAAATTCCAGTTCACTTTCCTGAAGAAAAGGCCTTGGGGGCCCAAGTCTTTGTGTTACAGAATCCTGAACCTCAAGGAGAAACACCACAGGAAGTGAACACCACAGTCACCCCACTGCTATGGGCCACTGGAATTCCAGGATGAGCACGGTCACTGGCTCCTGCCCCATTCCTTACCACAGGCAGGGGAACACACCTTGACTGAGGGTGGACCTGAGGGGAGGGGAGCTGACCTGAGGAGATGGGGGCTGACCTGAGGGGAATGGGGCTGACCTGAGGAGATGGGGGCTGACCTGAGGGGATGGGGGCCGACCTGAGGGGAATGGGGGCTGACCTGAGGGGAATGGGGGCTGACCTGAGGGCATGGGGGCTGACCTGAGGGGATGGGGGCTGACCTGAGGGGAATGGGGTCTAACCTGAGGGGGCCCTAGCCCCTGCTCCTCCCTGCCTGCCGCTCTCCCTTCACACCGCGACAGGTAGTCCATAAGCACTGAGCCTATTTGTTGGGATTCGTTTAAAATCATTTCATGTCCGTGTTCACTTATCCTTCCTTCCAACAAATGCATTTTTTTTCCAGGTAGTAGGTTTTCCAGCCTCTTTTGCTAACTCCTGTGACTTTTTTTCTCCCCTTTGGTTCCCCAAGACAAGGTTCTGCTTTTATGTGTTCTGCCCTAACACTCTGGATAGGATTTCATAGCTTTGAGTGAGAGCTAGACCTAGTCAGACCCAACACTTCTGGAAAACATGTTGAAAATTTAATAAATCAAGTAAGGTAACCATAAAAAATAAATAAAATTTCAAATCAAAGTATCCATATCTGCATTGGGTGAACACAATCTGCAGTACATCCCAGCCTTGGCCTGTAATCACCCAGGTAAGGAAATTGGTTGATTCACATCAGGGGTTTATGCGTTTCATGTACTTGGATTTCATTCCCACAGAAGTTAAGTCAAAAATTCCTAACTGGTGAGTGGCTAAATCTAACCCCAGCATGGCATCAGGGCACGGACAGACCAGACACAGGACCTTGGACATAACCCTGTGTCCACCAGTAGAGATGTCATCATGTTTTCTTAAATAATTTAGACTAAACTAGGCCAAAGGAAATTTTCAAATCAAATTCTTTAACAAAATTTCATATTGCTGCAATAACTAACTAGAAGCAGTTCAGAAATAAAACTCCTCCCCTGTGGTTATGGCCTGCTTGACCCCCCCCTGCAGGGGCCCCCAGGCACGGCTGTGACAATTTTATCACTTGCAGCAAGGGAGTCACCTCTCAGCAGACAGATAAAGGGAACACACACAGCATCCTGCATGAGGACAAATTCTTTCCCACATTACAGCTTCTCCCTGGTAGCAAAATTTTTTTTGAGCAGGTGTCCACCTCTCCCTCCTCGCCATTTCTTCTGAAGGTCTCTGCACCTACAAGCACATTCCAATATTCTGACTCTCCATTTGCCTTCAGCTATCAAAAGTAAATCCAGTAATTAGTCATTTCTATTTTCAGTTGCTTTACTGATTTATTTACTTTTAATAGAAGCACTGAACAGAGTTAATACACTTCACATTTGTACATTATTATTTAATCAAATTTGTCAGAACTATATTGAATCTGTAAGATATAATTCTATACAAACAGTAAATAATATTATTTCAAGGGACAACTCTTTAAAAACATTCTGCTGACAAGGCACTAATTCCTCCTACTACTGAGAAAGCATGCAATATGAAATTAGCAGTTTAGAAGCTTAAATTGCAAAATTATTCATATCACTGTAAGTGTAAGAAATGAAACAGCAGTGCCTGAAGTTCCTAAACTCATCCTTAGTTCTTGGGATCCACACACAGACACAAATCTCAAGACCTCCATTGCTCTAGGTTTGTTTCTTCAAACTATCTTTTGGAATTTTCACCAGGAATACTTTTCTTGAGTAGGAAATGTAGCCTATAAAGGAGAGAATAACCAAAGATTAAAAAAGATTAATCATGAAGATCACAAGGTTCTCAGACAATTCAACAAAAGCACATTGTCACTGTTTCTTTGCATGCAGCCCATCAGTGACAGAAATCAGCAACAATATAGACCTATAAAAATCAAACTTCTGTGAGTGCTAACATTGTATACCATAGATTTCTCCACAAGTAAAATGCTAACAGTAGGTGTGTAATTGGTAAATATTCCAATATTGTATAACAATGTATATGTAAAAGCTTCATTTGGAAAAGGGGGTTATTTATCTGAAAGACCCAAGGTACATTGATTCTACAGGACAATCAAAGTTGTATTTATTCTCTCTATTACTGAATTTTACCTTTCCTTCATTCGAGGTCTTGCAATTCAAAATCCACGTTTGATTTTCAGTGTATAAGGAATTGAAAAGGTTTATTGCTACAATCTATCATTGAGGCTTAACAGGAATTAAAGGTAGAGTGGTCTTTTGCCCAGGATAATTGCAACCTGTCAATACTACAATTAGATTTAATATTTAGGCACAAATGTGACTAAACCAACCACTGACCAACAGGGAGACTTTCTGATGAAGGGGTTTTTTTCATAACTGACCACTGTCTCACTTAAACTCTCTAAAGCTTCTGGTAATCTGGAGGTACTAAACACAAGGTGCATCTGCTGGTGTTACCCATTATCACAATGGGGAAAGAATCTCTCAAAGTGGAAAATGTGATGAAATGAAAAATAAATTTTAGAAAGTCATGTATTTTAAGATTTGAAGCATACAGAAGTGAAGTAAATCAGGGCCTCCAAACCCACACAGGGATCTGTGCTCAGAAAGGAGACCAAAGTCAAGCAATACAGAACGGGAGCCAGAAGCATATTTTATTTTTGCACAGGTGGATGATATGTCCCTCTTTATTTATGGTGTTGCAGATGCCTTGTGAAAGCCAAGTCTAATTAATAAACCTACCATGAGGGCATTTTTGGTAAAGATTAGCATTTTCACATGATATTTAGTATAGTGGTATTTTGAAAGCATATCTGTTTATCTTCTTTCTGTTTTCATAAAAATGTAGTAAATGTATGTATAAAACACACAAGCTGCAAGAAGGAAAATGGTACATTCATTTTGTTTAAAAGCCAGTAAATCTGGTAAAAATGTATTAAGGAAAAAGGGTCTAATCTAGCAGGGCGTACATGCCTAAATTTACTAGGATTATTTATTTAAAAATAAGAATGCAACTAAACATTTGGCTGCATTGACACCACCAACAACATTCAGTTATATAATTTGATACTCTTGTAACACTGAGCCAGTAATTTCATTAAAATGAAATTCTAGTGGTGCTAGACTACATTTGTGCAGGTTGCAAGTAAAGAGCTCACAGTACATCTTTGGGTCATTAATTCATTCACATGCTTCAAGGGAGATGTAAAATTTACTCTTGAATATTCCAAGTTCCACATAAGCACAAAGATCTGTTCTACTTGTTAGCTTGGGCAGAATCTAATCTATTTTTTCTGTTGCAAGCATCATAGATTTCTAACGGGAATAAATGTTGAAACTATTGAATTGGTAAAGCTGATAGAGAATGATTAAATAAAAGGCCACAGACC